CTGTAAATATTTATATTACAAGCTAGACGAACGTGTAAGCAATAGGGGATGCACCACTTTTGAACATCGTCACGCCCGTAGTGCCCCGCTGGTAGCGCCCGTAGCGCTCATTTTTGTAAATAGTTTGTGTCCGTGTTTATATGTTAAACTAGCTGTACCCGCGGGCTTTGCCCCGCTTAACTTCATAAGTATTCGCATGGCTCAATCACGTCCTGGTTGAAGTTCGTTCGCTACGCTCACTCACCTTCAGGTTGGAAATCGTTCGCTGCGCTCACTTGTTTTCAGGTTAGCTCGTTCGCTACGCTTACTCGCCTCCAGGTTGATGTTCGTTCGCTACGCTCACTCACCTTTTGATTGCAAATTAGCTGTTGTCATAAATTTTAAAAAATCATCCCTTTTATTGTTTATAATACAGTACTTTTATCAAGGTTATTATGTTTTAATATTTAACATTGGAGAATTTAAACGTTGTTAAGTGCACAGGTGTGCTGCGATTGGGGTTTAATACATTTGGACTTATTCAAAAGTAAAATAGTTTTCTGTGCTGCACTCTGTAGAAACACTGTGGCACTATTTCAAATCATGGCTAATGCTAATACAGAATGTTGTAATTATTCAAACCTACAAAACAGTTGGTAAAAGTAAACATCTGCTTTTAAATTATATTTACTAGTTGTCGTCCAGTGGTCGAAAATCGACCAGAAACAGGTAATGTACACGTACCGTATTGACTATTTGGATACTGAAGTAGACTTCCCATTTATATGGACCAGCCATTTTCTTTATTAAAAAACTGTAGTTGTGTAAGCCAGTTACCAAATGCGTGTATTAAATTCTATTTTCTACCTTGTTTTTTGTTTCTGACAAAGTTGATGGGTCATAATAGTTGCTATAGCTATAATAAGTCATTCCATAAGTTTAACTTGGTAAAAACATCCTGTATTCAAAAGAAATTAGTCATCTACATCAGCGCAACCTGATGGTGGCTCACATAAACTACGACGAATTTAAAGAAAACCGGTGACAACTTTAACATGGGGATGGAATGTAAAGGAACAGGCTTCTCTATTTTTACCCCATGCTGTAAAATTTAATAAAACATGTGATTATAATTTCTTCCATTTGTTTTGATTTTATCTGTTTATATTTCGTTGTTATTTCGTCTCCAGCATGACAACCCATAAAGCCCATGTTAATTTTTTTAATTTCAAATTCATTTTTTGAGCTTATATTTGAGCCTATTTTAATTTTTAAAGGCATTCTGCACTTCTTCAGGAAAATATCTTTCCGACGGTATGCTTAGATTTTCCCTGCGATGCACACGAGCTGAGAAAAAAGGTTTTAAAGAAACATGCTTGCCTATTAATATATAGATAGATTTGTAAACATTGTAGATCAAAAAGTCTGACATTGGCCCACTTAAAACCCTCTGGGGCAGAGCCCTTTTGATAGATCTGCACCAAACTTCACTCGAACCATCCTTGAAAGATGCTTAATAATGCCTGAAAGTTTCATTACAATCTGTCGAGCGGTTTCGGAGTACATAACGTTTAAACATACACACACACACACACATACATAGTTCCTCTTTTATAGATACTAGAGGTCGTCCAGTGGTCGAAACTCGACCATAAAAAATATGACAGTTGGATTTTTTAGCTAGAAGCGGTTGAGGTATGGTGTAATATCTTTGCATATTGCAGATGAACCTTTTTGGCTGTAGGCTGTAGTGAGTGCGATCCATCGATGTATACAACCTAACATCGATGGTGTTAGGTTATATCTTTGTTATATACATCGAAGGTGCGATCATTTGTTCAATGTTCACATGTCAATTTTTGAGGTCAAATCAATAAAAACAAACTGGCATGTCGTCAATCAGGGACAATGTTGTATTACTTACGAAAGAAATTTCATTTAAGATCAAATGAATTAATTTAGTATGTGTCATTGTCTGATTTATTAGAAAACATTCAGTATTTAGGCTACTGCATTTTATAAACCAAACTTGAATCTTGCTTCCTTGGCCTATCGTACAACGTTTTCCGAATCGTAAATCATCATTATGTCCCGACAGTTTATTATGTGTATCCCAGTCAAAGCAACTACATTATTCTATTAATTAATATAATGATCAACATTAATTTTGCAAGAAGATTCAATATTTTAATATCTGCTCATGTAAATTAATTATTTTAAAAGCAACCATCACTTAATTTGAAGGAAATTTAAATAACAATTTGTTCATTAGTTGATTTGGAATTAGGAATCATGTCTCTATTTCACAGTAAATATTCTCTAATGGTTAGCTAATGACAAAGTGATTCATCAAATTCCAAGAATATATTATGCCAGTTTGTTTGTTTTGATTTAACCTCGCATTAAAAAGGTTCATCTTCAAAGATATTCCACCACAGCTTAACCAGTTCTAGCTAAAAAATCCATTTGCACTGTACAGACTTCTCTATTTTTCACCCCACACTGTAAATAAAACATGTGATTGGAATTTGTTTTGATTTTCTGTTTATATTTTGTTGTTATTTCCTCACCAGCATAGCAACCCATAAAGCCCATGTTAATTTTTTGTTAATTTCAAATTCATTTTTTGTGCTTATCTTTGAGCCTATTTTAATTTATAAAGGGATTCTGCACACCTACAGGAAAATAGCTTTCTAACAGTATGCGTAGATTTTCCCAACGATGTACTTGAGCTGAGAAAAAAGGTTTTAAAGAAACATGCTTGCCTATTAATATATAGACGAGTAATGCCCAGAGGTCGAAACTCGACCAAAAATATGTAATGTACTCTCTTATGTTAATGTTTCACCCCACACTGTAAATAAAACATGTGATTGGAGTTTCTTCCATTTGTTTTGATTTTTTGTTCATATTTCGTTGTTATTTCGTCACCAGCATGGCAACGCATAAGATCCATGTTAATTTTTTCAAATTTTTAAACTAATTTTTTGCGCTTATCTTTGAGCTTATTTAAATTTATAAAGGGATTCTGCACACCTACAGGAAAATAGCTTTCTAACGGTATGCGTAGATTTTCCCTACGATGCACATGAGCTGAGAAAAAAGGTTTTAAAGAAACATGCTTGCCTATTAATATATAGATAGATAGAAGATAGATGTACTATTGTGTATTGACGACAACAAGATGTCCCAATATTTTTAAGAGGCAAGAGGCTCGACTCTCGACAATGAAACCACTGATGTTTCGAAACTAGTCGCCATAGACTATATAAAAAAAGTGGAATAGATTACAGAATAGGACTGGCCTTTGAAGAGGTAGTCTATGGCTAAAATTATAATTTTAGGATTGACGACGTAAGGTATGTTAACTTATTTTTATTGTCAATAATAAATCCTGGAGGCAATGATGAATAAACTATCAATATAACCTTGTACCAAAATTCGAGAGGAACCACCATCCCAGTAAAAGGGGTGACTTCTACGAGGAGTTTCGGGTAAAAATATTCGACCTCCATTGCCCCAATATCACTTTTAACTCGCCGTGGGCGGTAATGTAATAAGGAACAGGTGAATTCTTATTATTTGCGGGTCATATCACAGAAAACACACTACTTGCTATGTTTTCTGTGGTCATATGCATGGTACGCTCACGGCACTTACTTATATATTTTGTAACCTACAAAGACACTGTAATGTCATGCAAACTACAATTGATTCGTACACTGACTGGTTGTCCATCCTGACTCGCCACAATATTTTACGACCTATCATTGGCTCTACCAGAACTTATGGGACTGACGCTACCACCAAATAGCGTATTAATAAATTGTGAAGTCACAGAGTCACAGAATAGCGTATAATTGGCCAGAATAACTAATTATCGCGTAGTTTCATGCACCAGGCCTGTGTGCTCGTGACGTATTACCCGCCTAAACGCAAGTATCATGTCCATCAAGCTATTGTCTTGTCGGTTTCCCGCGTTAGCGCCAATCAGGCCGGAACCTCTTCACTTTCTTCTTCGCCAACTTCGGATCCAGGTCAAAGAGCATAATATCATCTTTCATGCATTACACCATAGAAAATGCATATAAAATTATGTACCATAGGACGTAAACTCTTTGTTTCCTGACACTGTTCCTGTTTCCTAAAGTAATGTTTCACAAGTGTTAACTGTTCATCAAATATCGGGGTGGATTTTTATCCCCCTGGAATTTTACCCCCTGAGCAAAACTGGCGTCACAAACCAGGGGGTAAAATTCCGGCGTCCCATAAGAAACAGTCAACAGTTAGCAGTTAGTTGTTGGTCATGTCTCAGTTGGAAAGAGCGTTATTTGGTGACCACTATCTCTCCCCAGAACACACGGTTAAGGTTAAACCGTAGATAGAAGTGTGTATGGTTAATTTATTTGTATTAGGACGTGGATGTTTATGGATTAAACGTATTCAAACATTTTTACTTTGGGTGGTTAAATTACGTTTTCAATTAGACAACTGCCTACGAACTTTGGAGGCTGTAGTTGTAGTTAGGCATAAACGTGTAATGTCTAACTTGGCTGAAAATGCAAATCTTATAAAAACTATGCCACTGCATTGGAAATTAAAATATTAAACTGAAGTCAAACGATATTTGGACGCTAATGGATTATTTATTTGTATTTTTAAATAGCTTGTATCATAGATAAAACCTAATGCTTGTATCCACGGTTTGTATAAATAATGCATGCCCTTTTACCAACCAAAACAAACCGCTAATAATGCAGAATACTTAAAAAAACGTGTAGGCCTACATTGACACGTATGCAACGGAAAACAGATTGCAGGTTTGGGAAATATATAATTTTTTAATCCGTTAAGTTTAATACATTTTTATTTTACATGTTATGAATTTTACGAAACATTGCCAGATAAACTACAGTAGCGAAACCTGCGAGAAGAAGAAGCATATGCACGGGACAACAATGGAAGTTTCTCTCTCGTTTCTAGCTCAGTGTTCAGTTCAGTTTGTGCTGTACGTTCGACCAGTGAACAAATCAAGAATCTTTGTATAGTTCCATCACAGGTAAGGGAAAATTCTTTGTTGAACTAACTTATTATCATTCATGAGTTTAGAAGAATTAATACACATAAGTTTTATTTTTTTGCTAAAGAAAAGGAAAGTTTAATTGTTTTATTTACTTCCATGACATGTATACATTTTTATTAGAGTTATTACTTTGTTCTTAGTTGATTTTCGCGTTACCAATCGCGAACTCGTATTCCCTTTTTAGGATAAATACCCCCGCCGCAGCAAACCTGCCGAATAGTGAATTTCCATTTATCTTAATTGATTTTTAATCAATCCTATTTAAATAACATTAGGTTTAACGAGTACCTAGGTTTGCTGCCACAAGAAAACTAATAAAGTGTGGTTTTTTAGTAAAATATTAATAGCCTAGAAAAAAATAAATAAATTTGCCAAGTTTGATCAAAATATATTCTGTACAAGCAAACTACATAATTTTAGAATATTCTCCATAATAATATGAATTTTTAATTTACAATTTTTTGAATGTTCTCCGTTACCAATAACCGCACAAAACACTTTGATATGCCTATACTAATTTTTTTTGGCTTTTTAAGCTCTTTAAAAAGGTCTAGAAAATTGGGAAATTTTGTGTTTTGAGGGTCCAAAATGAGAAAACCCAATTTTTACCCCATAAAACCCAACACCGTTCCCATGGCCCGATCATGCTGGTTCGCGAACTCATTCAAGTTTTTCCCACCTTACACCTTTGAACCAAATTTTATCAAAATCAGACAAAAATTACTCGAGTTATCACGCTAACGGACACATATATATGTTTTATTTAGTCAGTGACAGTGATACAGTGCTGGCCAGCCTTTACAGTTTTAACCAGTTTTATCACTTGTTATTCCATTTTAATAATTTAATCAACATGACTAGTTTTTACTATTGTGATTTTGACAGTGTTTTAAAGAATCTTTTGACAAACCACTATGTTATTACATTGATGATGTGGTTTCATACAATGACCTGACGAAGTTCTATATGGAACGAAACTAGTTGTCATACCCAGCAACTGTGGTTGGATAAGGTAATCCTTTTATTTTATCATACATACAGGGTTAGGCGAAAGTCTGGAACCCCCCAGTTAACTTTTTAACGTGTTGCAGTAGGAAAACCAAACTCGGTACATATTTACAACATAAGAAATTGCACTTTTTCATCAAAGTTACAACTTTGCTCCAGCCCCCAAAATGGGGTATTTTGGGGACAGCCCCAAATTTTCAAATGTAAACACCTATCATGTGACCCCTCATTTTAAAGGGTTTATAAAGATAAATTGAATGGTGCAAACCAGAGGTCAATATCGCACCCCTAATCAAAATGGCATCCATTTTAATTATTTAAGATGAGCTAGCAAGATAAAGTCTGACCACCCCCAGTTAACTTTAAAAATTTAATATTTTAATACATAACCAAAAGGTGAATTCTCTCTTTTATAAAGGTATGCTGAGCTTAGTTTTCCTCCTATAACTTGATAAAAGGTTAATAGGGGAAATTTCAAAATGACTGCCATTTTGATTAGGGGTGAGATATTGACCTCTAGTTTGCGCCATTTAATTTGTCTTGAGAAACCCTTTAAAATGAGGGGTCACATGACAGTGTTTACATTTGAAAATGTGGGGCTGTCCCCGAAATACCCCATTTTGGGGGCTGAGGCAAAGTTTGTAACTTTGATGAAAAAGAGTAATTTCTTATGTTGTAAATATGTGCCGAGTTTGGTACCTACCTGTATACAGGGTGTCCATAAAAACATTTCAGGACTTTGGGAAATGAATTCTCATATTAAAAGGAAGAAAAAAGTTTATGTGAAGGTATGTCCGAAAATGCATATTTATCCAGATATCCGCCATTTTGTTTTTTATACAAAAATATTTTTATCTGTGAAGTTTTACATTCGATGATTATGAAATGTGGTAAGCATGTTAACATACACAAGACCTACTATAGAAAAAATAATGAAGTTGGTCAGATTGTAAATTTCAAAATGGCAGCCGTTTGAATTTTTATAACTTAAATAACTCAAAAACGGCTGATTCTATGAAAAATTTCTAGCATATTTTTTGGCATTTTTAACTTCCTATCAAACAATACCAAGATCAAAAAGATCGGACGAAAAATAACTGAAATATAACGTTTTTGGTGTAAATATAGGGCAAAGTTGGTCGGGGAACACTTAATTTTGCCTGATCTCCCAACTAAAAAACTTTCTATTTCAGTTATTTGTCGTCTGATCTTTTTGAAATTGGTATTGTTTGGTAAGGAATTAACAATGCTAAAAAAATATCCTTTACTTTTTGTCATAGAATTAGCCATTTATGAGTTTTTTGAGTTATAAAAATTCAAACGGCTGCTTAGCATATGAATACTGTATAGCTGCCTATATAAATTTCAAAGAATAGCGTTTTTGGCCTCTGGGGACATCAAAATGACAAATTAAATCGGTCCCGGGTCTAGGTCTTACCGTGCCACCTACGGCAATACCTAACTACTTCCCTATAGGTAAATTCGCTAAAATGTCAGGCCTATAAAATGTTAAGTTATGGAGAAATAATGGAGTCTAGCTTTTACAAACATTAGTGATGAACGGCAAAATCACATACAGTAGAACCCCTCATATCCGGCCTTGGTTTTACCGGTCCTCTGTTTATCCGGCCCCTTCCAGGAAGCCAATATCAAAATTTTTTTCTCACAGCTTACAGACATTTAGATGCAGCCACTAGTCTTGTGACTGCTCAAGTCATAAAATAAATTGTTCTCATTATTTATCTGTTTGTTTATACATTTATTTGCTGAGTCACTATACTCAGTTGAGCTAGTAGGCCTAACCTCTGATCAGTTTATTAGTTTATCAGTTTATTATTTATCAGATTATTTCCAAAGTGGGGTTAGTACAGTACAGTATGAGTACATTAATTTTTGTATTTCACAAAATGGTTAAGAATGTTGCATAGAAATGCATGTACCATTTAAGTCCTAATGATCTTTAAGTACAATTTATTATCATTTTTACCTCCATTTAATAGATTTTGTTACCTGGAATCATTTGTACATTCATTACTTAATGACCTTAACCTACAATTTTTTTTCTTTTTACAAACATGTTTATTTTTCCAAAAATGATCCCAGAACAGAATTAAATTATACTTTTGATTGCATGTATTGATTACCTATTATTATTAGGTATGAATTATCATTTTCATAGTGGTTGGTTTATCCGGCCAAATCGTTATCCGGTCAGGGGCTTGGTCCCGTGGTGGCCGGATATGAGGGGTTCTACTGTAACAAATATTTTGGTGATGTTTGTTTCCTTGTGCGTTATGACGAAAAATAAACAATATTTTATTGAGCGGAGCAAAGCGAAGCTCTTTGGGATGAACTTTAATGCAATCTTTATAACACTTAAAATCTCAATAACGGCTGCACATAGGTATTCTAGCCAAACTTACCAAGGTTTTTTTCATATGTTTGGATGGTTATTTAGACGTACCAATTTCAATTTTTCTGTAGCCTACAAATTAAGTTCTGTTCTGTAGGCCTACTTAATTTGTTAATTTGATCGCAGTTGTGGTATCTTGGTACAAATTTGTAATCCGCAAAGGAAGCGTCTCCGCATCAACCATATCAAAACAACAGTTCCGTGATGTAGAAAGTAGCCTAACTAAAACTAACGTGAAGAAGGTGGCGGATACGGGGAGATACGGCAGTCCAAAGGTGGTGAACGTATGTTTTCTGTGGCGTAAGCGATATCGATGTTGACAATGACCTTGGTTACTTCGGGAAGTGGAAGTGACAATCCTTTAGCCACGGTTCGTTATGTGAGAGGATACAAAACATTGGGACGTACACAGGACAGACGGGTTCCATAACACAAAAGAGATAAAATACGTCGAGGTTAGGAAAGAACCTTATGCTTTGAAATCTTCATTTTGTTGACATAAATTCCTTCCCCTGCATTTTTCAATCGTCTTTCCAATATTGTTTATCGTTCTATAGGACAAATAGATTGTAAGCTAGGGCCTAATGATTTCCTTTAAAGATTAAATAGGTATAGTTTTTTTTAGTACAGTAGATTATTTTAATCAAACCTCTCCTTTTCTGCAATTGAGAACAGTTGGGTTGGGGAATTAGTAAGGCCTATCTAGAAACTAAGGTCGTATATAAAAAGCTAATGAAAACACACTTTTACAAATGTTATACATTTGTGCACAGTCAAAATAAACAGTATTAGTAATCTGACACAAATTTCTCCCATTGCGGTGTGAATAACAACTATTATATTTTATAAGGAAAATTGCAAAGTTTACAATACGGTATATCTTTTGAACCGTAATGTTTCAGCAATGGGTGGCTGTTTTTTGTTTAGAATTTGAAGGACAATAAAACATTAATCTTAATCAAAACGGGTTTTTTTGTTATTTTATGGGTGTTTCATGGGAAAATTACATACAATTTTTACGGAAATGGGATTTGTACAATTTTGTTCAGAAAAAATGACTATAACATAGCCTACTACATTTTGATCATAATCGTTCGGGCTATTTTTGATAAAATTTGGCTTTTCCGTTAATTTATAGGTTTTTATGAGAAAAGAACAATTAAAAATCAAAATGAAAGAAAATGAAAAAAGGCCTGGAGATACCATGGATTCCACATACCAAATTTAATCAAAATCGGACTACAGGTGTGGTCAGTAGCTATGTACACATCCACACATACAGACAGACAGACACACACACACACACACATACACAGGTATCACTTTGAAAACAACTTTTTTGGGTTCAGGAGGACTCCTCTCAAAACTGAAACTTGAAAATTTTGACGAATACTACTTTCTCCATGCTATGGTATAGGGGGAGAAAGTAAAACTGTTGGTGTTGCATCTGCAACTAAAAAACAACTGAAACCTTATTATCATTGTCTTTGAATTCTGTAATATATTTCTCGGCTTATCTAAGAATCTGAAGCCTGTTTTGTATTTTGAAAGTTGACAAAATTTGTAATGTCTGTCAATGTCAGGCCCAACTGAATGTTTCTCTCTTGTTTTAGAGTAAATTGATCAGAAATATTCTTTATGCTTTACCAAGTTATAAAACCAGGACTAAGGAGAAAAGGTGTTCATTTACATGTCCTTCATTTTATCATAATTATTAACAATTTATCATGGTAAAATTATTTAAATAGCCACCATAAAAATGATCCCTATATTAACCTGACTGAAGAATACCTTTACTACCTAAAAATGTTTATGAATACAAAAGAGGGAAGGGAAAAGTATATACAGTCTGTCTAAATAAATGTTTTGAACTCACAAATAAGCTGGGAATATAAGCCATGTTTCTTTCCCTCGCACTGCGAGAAAATACAGAAGACAACTCTCTCTAGACAAGAAAGACAATAGAAGCAATTAAAATGTTATGTAACAGTATTGAATAGGTCATTATCCTGGTGTGCCAAGCAGAAAATTCCTGCCGAACTGTACAAAGTGTATTTCCTGTAAAACGGTATCCATTGATCATAGTAATGTATATTCTCAATACATCATTTTAGTCGCTGAAATATAGCCTTGTTGTACTATACATAATTGAGTTCTGGTTAGCTTTATTTAAACTTTAAACTGTTCCAAAATGTGCTGGGCTATTAAAACATGTTATGGTGCCCTTAAATTGTTATTTTGATTTCAATATCAAAAAAATAACATCTGATTTTGTCTTTTGAACCTTTTGAACATGTTTTGCTGGAAATAGTGTTGTCAACTTCTGAACCACTTTCAAATTTTCTCATAAAAAGTTGAGTAAAGTTTTCTGAAGCCGTTTATAAAGAATATCTACAGAGTACAGTATTTTTATAATTGGCCGAATTAAAACCCTGGCCATATATTTATCTTTTAAGCAACAATGAATTATTTTCAGATGGATGGGTCCGAGTGGTTTTTGCTGCTGCTGTTCCTAGTTTTGTTGGCTCGCTCTCATGGCCAGAATGACACTACTTCTTCTGAAAACCCAACAGGTAAACCTCAGGAAGATATGCAATTCAATTAACAAATATTCATTGAGATGTTTTAACAAGTCTCTAAAACACTCTTTCATGGTTAATAGAAACTTGCATAAATTTCATATACCGTACAAATATTGCTGTATCGAATGTTTATTTAATTAATTAAGAGATGGAGTTCCTACTGCAATGTCTTTAGACAGCTATGGTTTGCATTTTGTTTTGTTTATTTGCTTACTAGGAAAATTATGTACATTTGTAAACTTTGAAAGAAAGAAAGTTGATACCAAAATTAAACTCTCATTTATTTAACTTATCAACTTAAAACTTAAAATTAAGCAGGTAAACAAAAACAACATAATCCACGGATTTCACGATATGTGGTTTTCTGTATTGTCATGAAAGTGTCCTGTTGGCATTTAATTTCAACTGTTGAATGAGTGTGAAAATCAGAGCAATATGTGTCAAGTGGTTTTTAGAGCAATTTTTCTCACTAAAATTTGGGTTAGGAGTTTATGTTTTTACTTTTTGGGCTGGAAGTTCTAGAAGTATAAAGACCACTAGCATGGTTTGAAGACAAAATTAAAAATCAAATTTACCATGCATAAACATTGACAGTTATATGACTATACAAGAAATACCGTTCACATCGTAAAGTTCTTGCTATAAGCTATAATTTTAAAATGAAATAAACATAGTTGAATTGAGATATGGACACAGTGGGATAAAAACCATGCTGATTTCGGTCAATTTTGGCAATTTTTGCCAAGCAAAATTGAAAGGGTATACCGGTACTATAAATAATCTTTTGCATCACATCAACTATAGGGCAACATGTATTAAGGAATAAAATATAATTTTACCCTGTAATAATACACCACACCCTATGAGTGGAGGGCTACTTCAACTGTGTAGTATTTGAATAAAATATTGGCTGGTCCATATAGATGGGATGTCTACGTTAGTACCCAAAAGTCAACGCTGTAACTAGCTTGCACAGTTGTGTTTCCAGAAGTGCGCATAGTGAGCGAGCCATTGACCAAGGTGGTGAGTCATCATGACCCGTGCACGTTCCGTCTCGAGTCTGCACTCGGAGGAATCTCTACTCGGAGGTCTTCCTCTGGTTCTTCACACACGCTCGATCTGTCAGGTGTGTAATTAGGGTCTCTGACAAACTTTATACCTTCCAGATGTAAAAGAGATTTTGCTCATAATGCTTTAACGCCAATAATATAACTAGTCTCATTCAAAACAAAACTCAACCATTTGTAACAGCTGATCTAGGAGTGATGGCCCGTTAATGGTTCTCTGGGGTGCAGCCAAGTGTCAATTTGCACATTATAGGTACAGATAACTAAGGGCTAAGGGATGGGTATTTTTTAGATCAAACGCATTAACCAATCTGGATTTGGAAAGGTATGCTAAACGTTTAAATGTCTCTTGCTATGTCCATAAAAAAAGTGTTATAGGAGTAAAACAGTTTGGCTAGCTTCCGTTTCATCTTGAATAGGTTCAAGATTTTAGCTTGTCTATGTGTGTGTGTTCACAAAAACCGGGTTTATACAAGAATATTAATTTGTATGTTCATAAAAAGAAAAAATCTTAGAAGCAGGAATGGTTACATCAATAAATAATCCCAGGTACTTAAAAGGGTTGATATTATAATGGTACAAAATAGTTATCACAATAATGCCATGGAACATGATAAAAGTCATGATCTTTCAAACAAAGAAACGTTAAGAATTTTCACATACTTTTACAGGTTATGCTCTGCACCAACCTCTAAGGACTGCTCCATATGAGATGTACGTGACAGATATGAAGGTTAGGATGCCCACGCACCCCAGCCACTGGGCTCGTATAGACAACTGTCGCTACAACCCTAGCCAGGCTGTACTGCAGGCCAGACTGGTGTTCAAGGACTTGTCAGTGTCAGGTAATAGAAACATCATTGCACAGTAGAGAGAATAGAGTGTCCAAAAGATGATATACAGGAGCAAGATTAGAATTTTTTTGTCCTAGGACGCTAGGCACGAGCCTGGGATTGTTTTTCACATTACTTCAGGCTAGACCTAGGGGTTGCGGCATTATCACTTAAATGAACTTTCTTTTCCAACTATCTATGCGAGTATAACTGAAAGTCTGTTGCAGCCTGAGAGTCGTATACAACAATACACTTGGCTTTTGTTTTTGTATTACCAGTGTTGCATGTGGTAGGTTATGTGTGATAAATGGCCTAGAGGTCCAAGAGGTGCTATTTCTCCAGCTAGGAGGCAGCACTTAGGAATCTGTTGCAAAACATGAGTAATTAATTACAGCTGCTGCACTGTAGCAGAACTCCCATTTTAAGAAAATGAGGTCACTCGCAAGAGAAAATGAATCCGCTGATTTTCTCTTGTTCCTGATTGCTTTTCCTTCATCCCAATACATTGTAATTTTCCAATCTAAGTTAGCACGTTTTACTAAATATGTTGTTTGGTAATTGTAATGTGGGTAACCTTCATCAAGGTATAATATTTTCTACAAGAGTGTTTCGCAAAGTGATTAAAAGTACTGTTAATTTTCCAGCCCTTTGTCCAACATTCCTGTATTTGGCTTTACCTCTTGTGTTAAACTTAATGTTCTTGTGTTTGGCTCCCGCTCGCACATAATCCTGGAGCTAAAATGTAACAGACTATTTAAAAGTCTTATAAGGATCAATTCAAAGGTTTTTAGAGATGAACAATTTTTGAATCTGCAACTAAGTATTCTTGATTGCCAGGAGCAGTGAAGCTGTACAATGAGGCCGACACACTCCACAACCCCAAGATAGCGACTCCTGCTGAAAGATGTCAGATGATGGTGCGACTGCGCAAGGCTGGCATCGGCTTCACTGTGGTAATCAACTGACTGATACCACAGAAAACATACTACTATAACCTAGAATGCCAACCGCATGGTAAAAAGCATTAAGTGTTTTGAGAGAGCTTTGCCTGTCAATCGTAGGCAAAGCTCTCTCAAAACACTTAATGCTTTTTACCATGCGGTTGGCATTCTGGGTTATAGTAATATGTTTTCTGTGCTGATACGCTTGTAACAAATGTTAACTGATTATGATTCAATCGCTGCACTCTTCTGAAACAACTTTCTGTATATACCTTAGTAACAGCATTTATAATTGATACTGAACTAGACATCCTATCCATATGTAACGGCAGTTTCAATTTTTTTATTACTTAATATAACATAGTTGAATGAGCCACTCCCAAAGTATGCTGCTATAAAAATTTGATTTTCTCCTTTTTTCATGGTGAGGTCTGGATCACTAAATTTAAGCTAAATGGTTTATGTTATCACCATTGCATCCCTTATAATATTTTTTACTGAAACTGTCATCTTTGTGTCTGTTAGGTACCACAGCAAAGGGAAGGCGGAGGTCTATCTGTTAGTACAACAGCAACATTCCTAGACCCTCAGTTTGTCAGTGTTCACGCTTATGGATGTGACAACCCAGACCTGCTTGAACGGAGGCTACAGGTATGTCATATGGATTTTTTGTTTAGGTTACCCTGAAATATTACCCCTCAACAATCTGGAGCGTATAGAGCTTATTGGTGACAATTGGCCCTCCTGTTTCAAAATACAATGAAGTATTAGATGAAACCCCCATTTGATTTTCTAAGACCCAGAATCGTTTTTCAGATTATTTCAAGCTAAACCTAGGGGTTGCAGAGATACGAGTGATTTGGTATCACTTGACGGTGATTTGGTGGGATTCAACCTAAGACCTCAGGGACCGAAGTCTCACGCTCTAACACTACCCACCTCACTCCCCATACCAAATACCCCATACTATAAGATCTTATTTCTTCATTGAACTAGCACTGACTGTATGAGAAAAGGCGGAACTGGAAGCTTTTTGATGGTATGAAACTGGATCAGCTGTCCTTGATCATTGGGTTTTTAATAAAAGGTTGATCTTAGTCAGCAACAAACCTGTCATCTGTCATTAAACACTTCTCATCCACATTAAATTAAGCACTCTGTTGAGTTGGTATAGAATCATTCAACCTAAATTTGTTGTTGTTTTTTTAAGATACATTCCCAGACATTTTGAAAGAGAGAAATCTTTATTAGATTCGAACATTGTCAGTTGCTCAAAGAGCACCAGCATTGACTGTGGTTACTGCAAGTAGAATTCTCAATCAATTTCAAATCACACTCCTCATTTCATTTTAATACTGACTTGTAACAAAGAGTTGTTATTTGAATGTAGGATGAAGATGAGCTGGATATGGGTAGAGAGATGGAAGATGTGTTTCTAAGAGGCATTCAACCTTTGTTGACGACCTACCTGGAGAAACAGCTTCACCCTGCACTGCGCGACACACTGATGATCAACATGGGCTACAGCGTCTCCTACGGGAGATAACTAGACACAGCACAAACACACAGGATGAGCTAACCTTAAATGAGCTACCTTGAGAGAATTTTTGAATTGCTCAAGGTGTTGTTAGAAAGTATTTATTTTGTAGTTAAATCGGTGCAGTACATTTGAATGATCATGTATATAATAATTTATATTAACATGAGTTTTATTCCGAATGCACTTATAAGTGGTGAATTAAGATAAAAAAATCAAGACTTCATTGTGACCACGATCTTTTAGAAAAAGATATTACAGTAACAAAAACCTTGTCTGTCTGAGTTTTTTTTTACAGTAGCATCCTGTACACATAAATGCTTTTATCAAAGCAAAACTAATAAAAGTTAATGTATATATACTTGTTGACTCTTGTAGAATTTATCTAGGACTCGATTTGTGATTTGTAAAAAGATCCCATAATACAGGTTGGTTATTCTATTTGCATTTTACATTATTATCAATATCATATAGAGTGTATAGAAAATGAAAATACAATATACGAGTACTGTGAACGGACCATACTTTTTCCATATAATGCTTGGGTTGATTATTAAATGTAAATGTAGTTGAAATGTATAAGGTAAATGTCTAACGCAACTGAAATACCTATAAAAAACTATGTTAAACTGTTAAACCCCTAAAACTGAGGGTTTACATTTTTTTGTCATTGTAAAAAAAATTGTTTAGTCCCACAAAATCAATAACAAGAGGCAGAGTTTCAAACTTATTAATTTTCATTTGCATTTTTGATCCATGCAACTTAAATACCTATTCCAAATTACCGTTGCTTACACATTCATGAATAATATGGAATGTTTTTTCATAATAATTACAAGGGCAGTCCATTTTGTGTGATGAAGCCCTAAAAAGGGTTTGTGGATATATTTTGTGAGTTTTCAGCAGAACATTTAAGGTAATACATAATAGATATCAGTAGCGAATATCCCTTTTAAAATTATTAAGCTTGAAATTATGTAGTAATGGTCGTTTGTAGAGTAAACCAAGCTTTACTAGAGTTGTATGATTTTCATTTACTTTAATACTTTGCTTAAATACTTTTCAATGAAATGGCAAGTAGGTATCTTGGTACCTATCTTAAGCCAAGTATGAATGGAGATGAGTGTAGGATGAGTGGTGCGATCTTGTAGTCTTATTAATGACTAAGGCCGACATATTTGACAAAGTACTGCAAGTACAAACAACTCACATAATCTAATGTTTCATTACCACATTCCTGTCTTTGTATTATTTTCCATGTAAAATAATGTGTTACAACAGATTAAGGAATCTGGTTAAATGTTTATCTATGTTTGCACACTTGGACTGATTGTTTGTTGTATTAATTGTGAGAACACTACAGTTAGTGTGCATTAACAAGGAGATAACACTATACTCCCAGTCTAATAATAATGGGATACACATATGCTTAATTTTCTTTGAATTCGCACCAGCAGTTCATTTTTTTATGTACTTTGAAGGTTAATCACTATTTGTTTGATATTTTATAAAGCTCTCCAACCCTCAAAATTGGAAATTTCCTTTAAAACACTGTTTGCTCCTTATTCACTAACATGTGATACCAATAAATTATTTAGACATCCCAAGAACAAAACGACCTGCGCAGAAACGAAAAGATCACGTTGTTCGCGCCAGTAGGTGTGGCGTACCCATCCAACCTGCGCGGCTTGAAATGGCCCAGGGTTCTTTTGTTTCTGGGATGTCTATAGTGTCTGGGTAGCCGAGAAGTCAGAGCTAGCCTTCAAATCTGAGGGTTGCTGGTATGTTTTCAACCAAGGAAAAACTTGAGCTCGGGTCGAAAAGAGTCACTTTACACCCTAGTGATGAAATAAACTATTTTACAATCTGAGTAGACAAAAAATGATTTTACAAGCTAAATCTTTGTTTAAGCTTCATTCAAAGATTTATTATTATTTTTATTCTTTTCAGATTTTATTGAATTCTATAGTATGTAAAATTAACACTAAGGATTGCTGGTGCTGAGCCTGTGATTGTTACACGTTTTTCCAAATGACGACATGACTGTATTAACCTAATTAATTTTAAGAGACAGTGAATTAGTTTGAAAGAGTTTCACTTTTTAGTTACAAAATAATTCAAGGTGATAATATCTTCTATATTGTTATATATTATATCAGCATTATGTAATGTAAATAAATATTTTAAGTACAATTGTTTTAAAATATTTTGTGTTTTATTTCGTTAGCAAACGTTACGTCCTATTAATTATGTTTATTTGTAGCTTAAAACTAACTATTGACCTTGTATACCGTACTGCAAGTGAATAGTTTTGAATTCGAAGTGTTTTCAATTAACACCAGAAAATAATTAATTTCAAGGTTTGTTTATGCCTGCTATAACCCTTCTTAAGAGTGCTTATGTTGAATATTTTTATTTTTTTATTTAGGATAAATTTCACAGTATGGGCTTACCTCTTTAGTTAGAGTTCCAGAAGTAAAGCAATATAGTTTGCAAATACAGTATCATTCTGTTTAAACTAAAGAGATGATAATAAGTTATAAAGTTAACAATAGGATGACATTAACACAACCAGTGTCACAAAACATAAATATGGTATTAAAAACAGTTTTCTACTGATTCATAAAATATAAATTTGCAAGGAAAATGTTTAGTTTATGATGAATCTGTTGTAGCCCTATATGTTGAATTTAATATATTACCTTTGACTATTAATACTACAACATTGATTAATAATACTATTAATAATACTTCAGTGTCCAATAGTCAATGATACTTACCCACGGGCTTCATCCCGTTTGACTTCATAAGTATTAATAAAAAACTATTGATTGGTTAAATTAAGCTGAAATAAACAAAACAGAATACAGTAATACAGACAAAAATAATCACACATGATTTTAATAAATTGAAAGAATAACATACAAGTAAGTACAGCTGAGGTATTTTTAACATTAGGTACCGGCATAGACAAAAATAAATAAATTTTTTAATGTAAATAAATATTTACTCTATTGTCTATGGCACCGGTATATATGGAAAGCTACCTTTAGAAAGGAATTACAACCTTAAAGGGCAATTTATGAAATAATGGAAGGTTTTGCGCAAGGTCATGACGAACATTTTTAAGTATAGTAGTTTTCTCAAAAGTTCATGGGTACTTTGGGATTTATATATGGATGTAGCAGCTGATTATTATTATTGTTTATGTTCGTGGTTGCTAAGTTGTGAATCATTCTAAAAAGTCAATACATTAGTTTTACTAAAAGTCTTTATAGTCCAATCATATAAGGAATTTCCCAGGAAAAAATTCCCGAAGTGTTTTTCTTAGTGGTTTCTTATGTATTTTTTGACGCTGAATCCGATTTTAAACTTTGCCACCTAGCCAGAGGTGAGCTAACTTCAGAAATCGCAAAAAACTAATAAAATGCTGTACTTGTTTTACTTTTTTGCATATAACTCACAAACGGAGTATTTTTTTGCAATAACTATCATTTACTAAATTAAAGTACACAAAATTCCCTACAATATACGTACAGTAACTTTATTTCTACGATGTTCCAAACTTACGCTAGAGCGCGCTCAAAATTCATCATTTTCTTTTACCTATTGGAAAACGTAGGAAACCCATTATAAATCCTTGGATTAGACACCCAACGAACTATATTTGATGAATATTGGTTATTTGAGGATTATATGGTACCATTAGGTCACATTTAGTGGTAAAAAATTGTAATTGATGTTTATAGTCGGTAACCATAGCAATAAATAAATAACAAAACAATTTTCAATTTAAACTAGAGGACCCATCCTGCTCCGCAGCGTTAAAATAAATATAATATCCGAGAAATAATCAAATATATGATTTTTGATTGAACAATACAGTATTCTTAATCGCTTAATTAAAAGCCGGCATTTCACTGAAAGTTCTTAGACCAAAATATATAGGATTATATAATTATAACTGGTGAAATACATCTTAAATTGATGTAAGAATTCGAAAATAATAAAATTATGTTTTTTAGTCGAGTAATACAGTAGGTAAATAAGTACCGATGCTTGATGTGAAATATTCGTGTGCATGTCATCATTTTGTGACCTAAATCATTAAAATCGGTCAGGTAGAAGAGCCAAACAAACTCGGAAAAGAGAAACCAAATTTTACTCCAATAAGAAATACATGGGGAGTGATTTCGTTTACGTATACGCCGAGTGTGATTATAGATAAATATAATACCGATGTTTGATGGCAAATCTGTGCGTGCATACCTTCAGTTTGAGACCTCAATCATAAAAATCGGTTGGGTAGGAGAGCCAAACGAACTCGGCAAAGAGAAACCAAATTTAACTCCCATAAGAAATACATGGAGAGCAAATTTCGTTTACATATAAGCCGAGTGGGATTATAGATAAATATATGCCGATGCTTGATGGCAAATCTGTGCGTGCATACCTTCAATTTGAGATCTCAATCATGTTAATTGGTTGGGTAGAAGAGCTAAACGTAGTCGGAAAGAAAAAAAAAAAATTTAATATATAAGATACCTTTGAAAGTTTTAATTATAAATCAATGTGTCAATTATAAATATAGTTTAATATGCTGGGACTGTAGTATATATTCCATTTTCCCCATATATGTACATTATATAGATAGTATATTTATAAAATGCACACACCATATACAGAAAATAGACAGAGATGTTCACTGAAATGCTATAGACGAGCTTCTATTTATTAAATTAACATGTACAACTATAACTTTTATTTTCCTATTTTCTCCTCACTTGTCGTCTTTATTTTCTTGACTGGCTAGGGGTCCTCAGATGTGGGCTGAGATTTGAGATAGATGTTTTGTAGAAGGACCTGGGAAGTTGTCCTCATCTAAGGGAACATCTTCTACTTCATCACCTACGATGGTTGGTTCAGAGTTGGAGCAGTTCCCCCCACATTTCCCACATATTTTTGAGCAAAAGAGCCCTACTCGTTGGCAGCTACCTTCTTGCATGATCATGCTACCAGTTTCAAGAGAGCATCTGGGGCTGGGCTCCATAAGGTAGTAATAGGAACAAATGAGTTTGCAGTCTTTCTCCAGCCCCAATCCTCGGGTGACAACTTCTTTCTTGAACTTGGTAAAACACCCTCTGGGAGTGTTGTTCAGCTGCGGCTTCAGTTGGTAGAAGAGATAATATATTACCATTCATCTTATAAGCTGATGTAATACAACTCTTGAATCGCAGCTTATTCAGATTGTTAGTGATATGGTTACCACCATACA